TCCTTGCAGTCCAAGTGACTCTCAAGAGTCTTCTCCAACACCATAGTTCAAAAGCATCAATTCTTCAGCGCTCAGCTTTCTTTACAGCTAAAAAGGTAGGTAAGACTAAAATGTTCTCATTTCTCTTCACAGATGAGGTTAAGGACAGAGAAAGAAGTGGATCCAATGACACAGATGTTTTAGCGTGTGTATGTGTTTGTGTGTGACTTGCTCAGTCATGTCCAACTCTTTGTGACCCCATGGACAAACCTGGATCCAAGGCCAGGCCTAAGCTTGTCCATGAGACCTGGGCAAGTTACAGTCTCCACTTGCCTCAGTTTCTTTACATATAAAACATCAGTAATACCCACCCTGCACCACACTAGGATGATTAGAGATAATTCATGTAAAGCATTCAATAAATAGAAAGTGACCTTTTTAAACCAGAAACAAATACATCATGCACTAACCCTAACAGATCGTGGTTCCTGCCTAATCCATCGTAGAACACCAAAACGTCAGCAACAGGCATGGAAACCAGAGACAGACTCAATATGAACTTAGATGTCAGTTTTTCCCACTACAGAACAGGGTAAATGATCTCTCTTCTTCCATATACTTACTGAAAACTGGAAAGGTTAAGGTTAGGAAGTCTCTTTTAGCTTCTGGGAAATGAATATAAGGCTGCTTCTGGTGGCAGTTATGACAGTCGTGACCCTGGGACTGGTGTCAGAGTCCTGACTCCACAAACACAAGGACGTCCACTCCAGTATTCCTGCCTGGAGCATCCCATGGACAAAGGAGCCTGGCGGGCTACAGTCCATGGAGTTGCACAGAGTCAGACAAGACTGAAGCAACCTAGCATGCACGCACATGTCAGACAATGGCAGGAGAACGCTTAGAAGAACTCTAGCTATCCATGACTGAGTAACTGCAGACCCTCAAAGCTTGACCATGAATACAATTAACCTGGAAACAAGATCAGATCGAAAGTCAGGATTTTACACATCAGCTGCTGAACGTTCAACAAAGAGGAAGAATTCTACTCGGGAATCTTTATAACCTGATGGTTAACATGCTGTATATGTCACCATTTTGGCATTTTCAGCCTGGACTAGTTGTTTCACTGTGGTCCTCAGTTCCCAACCTATAGACTCTAGGATTCTGGCAGAGGTTTATATACTGAACCCTGTCTCACTCATACATGGACTACTATTTTACAAATATGGAAGATGCTGTGGTCATTCTTTATAATACATATCCAGTTAAGTAATACTAAATAGTATCTTTGTCACTAAATATTAGCAATCATCAGAAATGAGAAGAAAACTCTAAAGAAGCAAAAATCTTTGAAATCTTTTAGCATTAAATAAAACTGTCCCAATTTTTATAAGGGTTGAGAACCACTGCTTTAAAGTTCACGATTTCTAACTGAAGACAGTTTGTATTTATAATAGACATGAAAGAAAAAGAGAGAGGGTTTCAAAAAACTGAAAATCCTAATGTACATTTATCTCCATTCCCAGTCCTCTCCTGACCATAAACTTTCCCTTGGCATTTAACATCAAAGGTAGTTACCCTTTCATTCTTAGTTCACAAGCCATTACAACCGTTCAAAGACAGAAATGGCAATGCATTGTGTATTAAGAAAATATACATGTAACATTCCATTCCTCCTTTAAAACAGAAAAGATCACTCAGTTTATTTCTTCTCCCCACTCTTCCACCTTCTCTTCCTTCTCCTGATGCTCTGACACAATTCTATAAAGATACTCAAAATGTTCAAGAGAAAAAAAAAATATTTTATCCAGCATTTCCCAATGAAAATGTACTCCAAATTTTAATTTATATTCTTCTCAGCACAACATAAAGATCCTAGCTAAAGACAGCCTCAACATTAAACACTACAAAAATAAGAAAAATAAACATTTCTGTCTAGGGAGTATTACAAAAATATTTAATATATAAAGTGTATATGGATTTGGCCATGTCTTTCTATAATATAAGCTTTTCAGTAACTTATCCTGAACTGGGATAGGGAGGTTGGGGGGGCTATGTGAGGTGGTCATATAGTATGTAGGGTAATGGGGTGTGGAGAGAGTCATATACATCGTTTATTAATTTATCATTTCTTTTCTGGGATGTAAACTGTGTCCTAAGGGTAAACCAGAAGTGTTTTTTTATTCTAAGAAGTTAAAATATGCTAATCTGACCTTTCAAAAATACTGTTCACTAGGACCGGACAAGATATCTGTAAATTAAAACATGCCATTAGAATTTTGGCAGCAGAAAACAAGTCACAATGATGCAAACACAGCTAAATCTAGTTATTAACACAGAGGAAGTGTAAATTTAAAAGATGGAAAAAAACAAAACAATAAAACCCCTTAAACTCTGGGTAGAGAGGAATGGGAAAAGACCTACAGATTTAGGTAAAGTTAATCTCAAGTCAGTGTTTATCAGCTCTCCTTTAGAAAGGTGAAAGGTCACCTGAATCATCCCTGCCATCTCTGCCTTAAGCAACTTTCCAGATTTCAAGAGAGCCAAGCATTATAAATTGTTAATACCCCTGTTCAAGTCCCAGCATGTCCATTTACTTCTATGACCATTGACAAGTCACATTTTATCAGCCTCAGTTTTTTCTCTCCATCAAATGGAAAAAATGAATCCTGTTTCAGACTGTCAAAAGAAAAAAATACATTATAAATAAGATAGAGAAAATGCTCTCTGTAAACAGAAAATAGGGGGCTTCCCTGGTGACTCAGCAGTAAAGACTCCACCTGCCAATGCAAGAGACCCAGGTTTGATTCCTGGGTGGGGAAGATCCCCTGGAGGAAATGGTAACCCACTCCAGTATTCTTGCCTGGGAAATCCCATGGACAGAGGAACCTGGTGGGCTACAGTACATGGGGTCACAAGAACTGGACACGACTTATTGACTAAACAACAACAAACAGAAAATGAGGATCTAAAGGTCACGTATTAATATTCCTGGGTTATTATTTAGCTATTATTAAATTCCACTAGAATGGGAATAAATCCTGTTCCTAAGTAGGGGATAAGTTTGAGGCTGTTCTATTTTACCTGAAACAGAATGACAGATGCTGAGGAAAGTCCTCAAGTAAATTAATGAACCAGAGGGCCAGGAGTATACTTGGGTATAAAAAAAAAAAGAGGCAAACAGTTGAACAGGTCTTCCCTTTCAAGAGTCTCTGTTAATGACTTGTTTCACTTTTAATCTCATGATGCATTTGGCAAGAAGAGGCACAAACACAGACATATGAAAATCAAATTTAAGAAGTCCACATCTATCTAGAAAATTAATTGCTCAGTGCTCATAGTGTATCTTGGTTACTTAATGCTAACACAGTTATACCAATTACTGATAATATCATAATGCTTAAAGCAGCTGCATTTTAAGAGATTAAAGTTCTGAAGGATTATTGGAATAATGGGATCTTATAATTCAAATTACCTCCATGCTGCTAGAAAGTAAAAGAAAGGGGAAGGGAGGGGAAAGTACAAATTTAACAGGCTGAGAAACTACCAAAGATTTTCCTTTCGAAGCAAAATCAATTATGTAGTAAATATATTTTACTATAAAAAATTCAGCATGGGGGGGTGGGTATGATGAACATAGAACATCATGAATTTAGGCTCTGCTTCCCGAGGAATCACAAGTGCCCAATATGATGAAAGCGCTAAGTGTACACAGTACTGCAATTGTGCATTTTCCCTCCCTATTACAAAAAGAGACCCCTATTTGCGGAATCTCCTTTTTCTCCCTCCAGTCATTTGTTTGGATCCCTTCTTCCAAAAGAAACTGAAAGACGATGTCACTGGCTTAGCATCATTCAAACATTTAATTTGAGGCTATAATCTTCCTACCAAACTGACTCTCCTCAACCATCACACCTCCCCTGGTGTCCCTCTGCAAGGCTGGAATTCAACCAGACAGATAAATAAAAGCAGGAAAACAAAGTTGGGCTTTCACTGGTTGGGGTGGCGGGTGGGGGGGGGGAGTGTCCATCTGATTTAGTCCCTGGAGAGAGAGGAGCTGCAAGAGAAATGAAGAAGCAGAAAGTATGTGCATAAAACCAACCTTTGCTCCAGCATTTTGTTCTTCACCTCTGCACTTCTGAGACGGAGCAAGGCAAGCATGTGAATTGTAATCTACCTAGTGAATTTGAGAAAACTCATTCTCAGTTTTACTCTGCTGAAAAATGGCATTTAATGAATAAAGATGTCAGGCTCCTACCTTTAAAAGTACTTCTGTCTCAGTAAGGGAGCCTGGCTAAGAAACCACGACTGGAGTTAACAAACCAGACACCAGACTAAACATCTCACAACTAGCTGCCCCTCATTCCTGGTCGCTACCTTTCCGGTGTGTGTGTGTGTGTGTGTGCATCACCAATTCCCTCAGGCCCTGACAGTCTGCCTCTCCCAGAACGGAAAGCAGAGAGCCTGGACTCCTCTGTTACACCGGCTGAAGAAGTGGGATTTCTGAGTCTGGACACCAGGGCTCTTGCTTCCTTTTCCACCTTACACATCACCCTCAACTCCTCTTTCTCCCCGAGGTCCCCACCCCACCCCACAACACTGTTAATAACACCCTAGCCAGCCATTTCTGTAGATAACCCCCGGCCCAGGGAACAAAGTGAAGAACAAAGAGCCGCTGCTTCAGGCGGCAGGAGGAAGACAGGCGAAGGTGGAGAGGGCAGCTGAGGACTCAGGCAGCCTCCCTGGCAGTCAGTCCTGCCTGGAAAGCTCCCGCCTAGAGTGAGTGGGTGAGGAAGCAGGGCAGGTCCCCGGGCGCCGCGTGCCGCCGCGCGCGTTTGCACCCGGGTCCATTGCACCCCGCCGGCAGCAGATCCAGAGTTTAGAGAGACCCTCCGAGAAAGCAAGCAGCCAGGGGCGCGCAAGGTAGAAAATGCACGCGAGCGAGGCTGCAGCGCGGAGCTGCAGATCGGCTGAGTGACAGCCCAGCGCCCAGCCCGCGGGCTCACCACCCGGCCTCGCACCTGGACCAGGCGGCCACCCTGCACCCTCAGGGCGCTCTCCTCTCCGGGGACTGGCTGCTGGCGGGCTCCGCGAGCTGGGACCGGCGCGATGCGGCGGGGGCTTCACTCTTCCATCCTGGGACCCGGCAGCACGTTACCGACGGCCGTGCACTTCCTGTCTGAAACACACAGGGGAGAGAAAGAACGGGAGAGATCGAGCGCCAGCCGAGCGGAGGCAGGCAGGCGGGGAGGGCGGCCGAGGGGGCTGCGGGTTGCATAACCACGGTCGGCGGCCCCCAGCACTCTCCTCGGCGGGAGACCCGCCACCCCGGCGGCCCGCGAGGTGGCCGCCCCGCGGCCCGGCCTCCCCCTGCCGGCCGCCTGGCCCGCGGCGCGCTGGCAGCCCTTCCGTTTCCAGCCCCCGCCTGGGTTCCCCTCCCCGCGCTACCTAAGTCAACTCCACGCTGTCCGCCTGCCTGCCTAGGGGTTCCTCCTTTCCTCTCCTCTCCTCCCCGCCCCCGGGGGGTGGGGAGGGGGTGGAAATCTGACGAGGGGACGATATAAAGACTAGACAATCCTTACCAAGGAAGAGGAAGCTGGATTTACGCACAATTTTAAAGTTTAAGAGCCACATCCCCGTATACCCATTCCAGCTCAGCAGCCTAAAGAGCTTCAGGATGGGAAAAGACTTGTCTTGCGCCTGGCTGACTCAAACTGCCAGAAACTGGCAGACACGAACTGCCAGAAAAAGAAGAAAAAAAGTATTCTGGGTTCCTAGGCTCCCTCTCTACTGAGACCCTTAGCTGCACAGTGCCCTAATATTTATATATACCAATTCCACATGAAAGATTGAAGAATGCATATAGTGTATTCTTCCAAAAAACAAGTATTTCTCTGGGCGTACAAATCACTCAACAGTTCCCAAATTCTGGGTTTATGTCCATTTTGTCACTGTCCGACTCAGGTGAACCTCAGGGTCCTGCTAACAAATGGTTTAAAAATCTGCCATAAGCAGAGTGTACCAGCTCTAGGAGTGTTCAGTGCCCAGTTTCTGGGCTTGCAAGTGAGAACAATTTCATCCCTACTGTGCCTGCCCTTGCCCAAGAATCTATCAGGTTGCCAGGCACTTAAAGCACTGTCTCTGATCAACAGCTTCTTTTATCATCAAGGTGATGGCTTAAATAAAAGTTATTCCCGCTTCAAAACTCAACATGGAGAATAGTATATAATGAATGATTATTCTACATGAAAAGTTCAATTTTGACTGAAGTAGAAACTGATGGACATTAAGCTCCTGCTCAGTGTTAGCATCTCATTTTAAACTCCCTTAAATCTTAATATTTCCCAATAGGTCTGCAAAAGTCCTATTCTCACATTCCCAATTGAGGAAACTGGGTCAGAAAAGTTAAGTATCTATCCCGATGTCTTAGCTAAAAAGTAAAGTGGAGAGGTCTTTTCTAAGTATAAAGTCTGCACCACTTCCTCTACACTCTAATTCTCAAAACAATCATGAATTCTCAGGGAATAATCAAGCCCAGTGACTATCCGTGATCCATCCCTTTGTCTCCCAATGAGCCTGCAATTCCATACTATCACTCCATCACACTAGCTGGGCTCCTTACCCACCTGAATTATATGTACCTTGAGACTCAAGCAGAGGACACCGTGCTCTTTACCATTATCTGCCACTGGCTCTGTCAGCCTTTTCAGTCACTCAGTGGCAAAAGTTCAGAAGGTTATGGGACAGCCACTTCTATGCCAAGGTACAAAGTCTGTTCAGTTCAGAACCTAATCTGCTGACGAATATTTGTTCCCTGAATTCCTTTACTCTAACTGGGCTCTTTTAAGAAGAAGGCAAACAAACACACACACAAACAAAAACCACACCCACACAAAATGAACGAAACACGCATGGACTCCTCTCTTGATGAAATTTGAAATTCTCTCACTTTTCATTTCCTTCTGTTTTAGCACTTAGTTCACGCTCACCTGTCAATAGCATGCTGCTATTAGCCTCTTGACAAGCCAAGAAAGAGTATGTATTGAAAGGAGATTAAGAATCATGGCAACGAGGGGGACAGTGAGGGGGAATGTGAGCGCTCATGTCTTGTCTCCCGTGAACTGTGTCTCACTTGCCCTGCCCTGCCACCTTACTCAGCAGCACAGCCTCTGGGAGCTCCAGAGCAGGTAAGTCAAGGGCAAGGGCAGTTCAAGTGCGCCAGTCAGGGCTGAGCAGAAGCAAATGCATTCCCATCCTTCGGGTCTGCACGGTGACGTGAGGGCTTATTACTAAAAAACCTCCTGGGGGCGCTTAGCATCCTTCTAGGGTCGCTTAGCATCCTTCTAGGGTCCCGCTCTGCCTCTGATGCTGTCATTTTCCTTCTCGAAGTCCCCTGTTTATCCTGGACCTGTCCACTTTCCATTTCTCTTCACAAACTTAATGCTTCGTCCCAAAGCCCTGCCATTTCTTTCCCACAAAGTACCCGCTGGGAGGGAAGGGGGACAGAGAGCAGTTAACTCAAAATTTCTCTCAATTCTCTCTCATTTAGAAAAAAAATGATAATTACCATGTTTTGGATACAATTCTATTTTGAAATACTTTTTGGTATCCCTGCCTTCATTGCTGTTACTTATTAATCCAAGAGCCTTGAAGGAAAAACCTCTAAAGAAAAATTAAATTCTTGAGACAAAGCAAAGGAAACATGCTCAAGTTAAGCTGGATGGATCCTAACGTTCATAGTCTGGATAATGCAAGACTCCTAAGATTGCATCTGTTCCTGACATATATGTATCCTAACCATCACAAGGCCTAAGCATCATATCACACATTCCCATGGCTCAGCTATTCTCCTGCCTCTTCTGTATTTCATGGAAATTGTTTCTTGCCACTGTTAAGTAGGAAAAAAAATATTAAAATGACAACCCCATAAAAAGAGGGAAACTACTCCTACTCCTGGGTAGGCACAAATGACACCACAAAAAATAAAACTGATTCTGGAAGATTACTGGAGGTTAATTTTTCAAGTCTCCACTCCCTAAGTACCACAATCCATGGATGAATACAGCAAGGGTGTGAAAGCAATTTTTGAAGCTCCAAATTAAATGACAAGAGACCGCTTTCCTCAGGACTAATGGGTGTGGAAGAGGAGATGATAAACTCATATCCAAAAATGATGTTCCTTATCTTTCTTCATCTTCAAAGAGAAACTCCTTACTTTGACGATTAAAAATGTCTGCCATGCAATTTCTCTGTGTGAGGATCCCTGGCCATTATTACAGGATTTTCTGCAAACAAAAAAAGAAACGCGACAAGCCATCTGGTTACCTAAGAGATTGCCTCTCTGCACCAGTAGCCTTCACAGTGGCATCCCTGTCTGTGTCTCCACCTCCAGGATAGCACATGAACAGGCTCTTCTGGGAAGGAGTTCTCTGGCATTCACACTCACTTCCGGACCTCTGCAAGACCAGGACCATGGTTTTCAAGAAAGATGTCTTCAGAGCCAACTGGCTGGCTTGATTGGTATTTACCCACAGAGGGTTATTAGCCATTTTTAAGGAGCCAGAGTATCATTTCCCATGGCAAAAATGTAGCAAAGGGATGGATGCAAATCACATTAAAAAAAAAAAGTCTGCCTGCAAGATGGTTTAGGCTCCCTTTTGGACACAGAGTTCCCTGGTTTTAAGAAAGCTAAGGAAAGCATTACTTAGAACGCCTGCAGCCTGACTTGGGAGACCCAGCTGCAAGTCAGAAACACAGGCCAGGATGGCTACAGGCCCGAGCTGGTAAGTGTACTTCAACACACACACGTTTGGGGCAGAATTAGTCCTATTTACATAGGACCCACAGATGCACTGCCTCACTAGATTCTCAGAACTGCCTTTGCAAGGAGGACTCATTACCGCTGTGTTGTAAGCAGCAGAGCTCATAGGTGTTAAGTCACTTTCTCAAAGCAGCAGGTAATGGAGCTAAAATTCACCCTGGGTCTGTTCTTCCTCTCAAGAAGACATGAGTAGGTGCATTTTGGCTGTGGATTTATTATTCTGTGCTACACATCCTTTCCTCAGAAGACTCTCACTTTTAAAACACAACATGGAATGTTCTCTCTCAACTACATCCTGTGACTTCATCCCCTTGCCAAGTTTTTTGAAAGTGTAAACTATAAATGTATTCTGCAATGGGCAACTGATTTTTAGCAATATGTCAATATAAATTAGGTTGAATCTGATCTTGGGTTGCAGCTGACAAGTGTTTAATAAGATAATAAAACAGATCCACTGGTCAGTCAAATTGTAATGGACAAAATCTTCATACATTTTTTCCAACTTTAGAATGCAAATATATATGTAAAGTGGGTCACAATGACTGATGTACTGTGATTTAGTGAGTGTAAATATGAAAGATTAGCAAGGAACCATGAAGGCTAAGTTCAGATGCAAATACTTGTATGTAAGTTAAAGTAGTCAAACTGCTCCTGACACAGACTGCAGGCATGAACAGCCTTGAGTTATTTACTGACTGTTGATGATGATGAGTATTGTGTAGACTAAACAGTGTCCTGTAAGACATTTTTCTTTGAAAAGCATGTTTTGTCTATTCATCTTTTGGAGTGGGTATTTCTGCCTCCTTATTAAAAAAATATTTTAAAAATTCTCTTTGGGCATCCTTTAAAAATAATATATTAAAGAATCCAACAACTTAAAATAATTTGTCTTAAGAGGTCAAATGAATATAGTACTTATTACTAAGACAACAACGTTCTTAAAAGGATTTTAAAAATACCTAAATATCTGCACAATTACACATTGGGAAGTAGCACTAGGTGAGTTGACAGGGAAGTCACACACATCACTGTCTACTGATATATCAATTCTCAACTATCTATTAAAATGGAGGTGGCAAAGTTGGACAGTTTCATCTTCATTTCCCTTCCTTTGCCTGTAGTGGCGTGACTAAGGCCAACAGCAGGAAAGAGAAACAAAGTGCCTGGAAAATCCAGAAACGTTATTATAAACTTTTGAAAGATTATTCATCAAGTTTTAAACTAAACCTAGCTAAACAAATTCTGACCACTTTACATGTACTGACTCAATTATTCCTGACAACACCACTTTGGGGCAAGAACTACCATTACCTCCATATTACAAACCAGGAAACAGACACAGAGCTATTAAATC